AAAAATTGGGGGCTTTTTTTTTTTTTTTTGTCTTTTATGCGGTCGTCTCCAGCTGATGACGACTCTGATATGATCAGTTTGTGTTTCGACTTGGACGGTATTGACTCAATTTGTCTTTTGTTTTTTGTTTTTTTTTTTTTGGATTGTTTTCATTTTTTAATAAATGTCATCAGAGCTCGAACATGTAAAAATTAAAAAGTGAGAAAATAAATTATTTTGTAAAGTTTTTGCAGCAGTTTGAAAAAGAGAATTTGTGTAGAGCCAAAATGTAGCGTTGTCCCTCAGTTCATCATATTATAATTTACGAAAAAATTACATCAATCCTTATTTATTTTTTTCCTTCATTTCAAAAATTAGAATTTAAGTTTATTTTTTTGCAAAAATCAAGTATATACTACGTGCTACCCTACCTCACACCACCCTTCCTTATCACTTGAGTGAATTCTTCCCATATGTTTTTTTATCTATTCATTTCAAAAATTAGAATTTAAGTTTAATTTTTTGCCAAAATCAATTATATACTACGTGCTACCCCACCTCACACCACTCTTCCTTATCACTTAGAGCCTGTTTAAGAGTGATTTTGAGAATTGATTTTTTGATCGTCAGGAGAAAAGTGGGGTTCATCTGTGAGAGAAGAAGTCAAATATGATTGCTAAAATAGTGAAATAACGGTCAAAAAATCAATTTTTTGAGTGAAAAATAGGGCCCAAACAGGCCCTTAATTCAATTCTTCCCATATTCACCAAATCTCCCAAATCCACACTACCGAGAGCCCATCGCAACCTATTGCCTATGTCAACAATGTCCATTGTTACCTACTGCCTGCACTAGAACCATCACCCAAACCACCAATTTCGCCCATTGCCAAGGATGAAATTACCTCCCCTACAATCCCACCACCTCCAATCTACCAACGTCGTCGTCAATCCATAACACTCACAAACGCCACTACTATAAGGAAACCATACGAGAGCTCTAGTCTATAAAGTTGTAGCATTTCCACAAATTTCAGCCACCAGCAAACCTTTGATCTGAATCTCTTCAATGGTCGTCGTCATTGTCATCGCCATCGTCATCCCGTGATTGGAGTAGTTGCATCGACTCCGTCACCCCTCTTTGGCTTTCCATCTTCAACATTCAGCCATAAATTTATTGAATCGTGCCTCCCATTAGTGGTGTAATTGGTGTGCTAGTGGTGGTCCACCCTAACTTCGCAAATTTGGACGACTTTGTTGTTGATAAAAGGGTGTGGGTTGTGGATTTAAGGTGGTGGTGTAGTAGAGGCAGTGGATTAGAAGAGGTGGTGGTTATTGATATAGATAATGGGCGTGTTAGTGGTGGTCCACCCTAACTTTGCAAATTTGGACGACTTTATTGTTGATGGAAGGGTGTGGGTTGTGGATTTAAGGTGGTGGTGTAGTAGAGGCAGTGGAATAGCGCGCGCTACATTTTAGATTGTGCATGTCCATGTGGTTGCTTGGTGGTGAATGTGGACATGGATGTGGTGGTGGTGGTGGAGGAGGAGTGGAGTGGGTTGAAATGAAGATCGTTCATGACCATTATTTAGAGAATTGTGATCGAATAGAATATGTAATTTCTAACCAATAAATAATAAATGACTTAAAAAATTTATGATTTGTGATTAAATTTATAATTGTGATTCACAATTTTTGTTGTTGTGACTTCGATCTTATACGATTTGTGGTTGGTATGTACTATGATCATAAATTGTGTGATTGTAACCCTAACCTTATCGATTAAATTATAGATCACAAACTTTTACTAGGATCACAAATGTGACCAAGCCTTTTTCTAGGAGCCATAAATTATGACCGCCTGATTTTTGAGGAAAAAAAATATTTATTTTCAAAAATGTATTTTTAAAACCTTTATAGTTTTATAGTTAGTTAATTTTTTCATTATTTAATGTACGAGTTGTTTATGAACTTTTGGGTTCATCCATGTGAATTGGATATTTTATGTCGCTGGGTTAGGCCAAAATGGAGTACTTGGATTGGGTTTCACACTGATTATGGACTTCATTGGTTAGCTCATTTCCTTGTCACGATCTATAGACAAAGGGAAGAATACATAAATACTATACTATAAAATCACATTTCAAAACTAACAAACTCTCAAAAAACTTTTATAAATTAGATGGTAAATCAAATTATTAAATATATAATTATAATATCAATTGTGCTACTGAGCCAGCCTCAATGACAGAGTAAAAAACAGATACATGTGTCGTGTTGAGATAAAAGCCAAGGAAGAAAAAAAAAATCGTTCAAGTTTGAAATTTGACCAGTAAACCCACACAAAAAAGTAGCACCGTCTCTCCACTAGCTATCTAAAGCTTGGGAGAAAGAAAGATACACCCCCAAATCGAATCCTTCGAGAAAGAAAGAAAACCCCCAAATCGAATCCTTCGAAACCACCACCATCTCCAATCTTCCATAGACGGCCCCGTCGACACCACTTCATCTTTGACCGCAGTTCATGAGCTCTGCAACGTGGCCGAAAAAATACCGCCATAAAAGAACCGATCGGTGTGGTCTCCGTCCCGGCTTCCAACGAAAGTAATATCATTTTTCAACTGGTCTCAGGTATGACACTGTCTATTTCGTCATCTTGAACTAGGGCTTCCGACAAATTTGTGCGCAAACTTGAATGGGTTCCATATTATTTTCGCCTTTGCTGACATATTTGTGTGCGCGTGTTGAATGTGTGTTATCAGTCGTGTTTATTGAATTTTCGGCAGTTGTGCTTTGCAATCTCTACACTTCTCTTTACATGTATTTTCGGCAGTTTTTATGTTTATTGTTATGGTATGGGATATTTTCAGAATCTGTTTGAGATTATTGTTACTATGAATTTTTTTTACTTTGATTGCACATTTGTTAGTTTGGAAATTTTTGAGAACCCATTTGAGATTTTTGTTGATTAATTGAGTTTGTGAGTGTCTTTCTAGGCACCACCGAGAGCTGGAAGTAAGTTTTGAATGTTATGAATTTTTTTTATTTTTTATTTTTTGATACGAGATTTGTTAATTTGGAACCCATTAAATTTTGCAATGGCACTAGAATTGCAAGCCATGGAGAAAAATGGTGGCTGGAACGTGTTTGATTTACCTCTTAAAAGTCACAGGTGAATTTGGAAGTATATTGAATTGTTAGATTGCTAACTTTACCGTTGTTGTTGGTGGTTGATTCCCATCTTAGAATGCCCAGAACGAACAGAGGAATATGTCACAGTTGTAGGGCGAAAGATCACTTCTTCGCCGAGTGCCCAAAAAAACGCAGTTGCACACTATGTAAGAATGGATTTGAGAAATGTTTTGTAGTGGAAAAGGAGGGTGAATCGAAAGGGAAATTATTCCTTTGCTGCAGTAACAATTGTGGATTTTGGGAGTGGGTTATAAAAGAAAAATCGAGCGGTCCATCTACAGGCAATAGTGCGAAGCTTATTAACCCTGTGAAGACTGAAACAGTGGAAGATATGTCCCGTTCGTTCCAATCTCGAGTTCGAATTAGTGACGAGGACGAGCTCCAGATATCCGTGAACATGACGATTCGGACTGAAAAAGTGAGCACCCAAGGGAATGCGAAAGGGAAACAACTAGCTTGATTAGAAGATAGTGATTGAACGGGATTTTTGTAGAAACATTTCTATGTATTCGTACCCTTGTACTATTAAGTTTCGTTATGAAATCTTGTAGTCTTAAATTATGTATGAGAATATATTGTTATCTCAACTTTGGTTTTTAGAAGTAATTTGAAACATTTCTATGTAATAGTGATCTGCTCCATAAGGGAAGTTGGCAGTATCATTTCTGTGAATTTTTGTGTTATTCGGGGTAATGTGATAAGGTGGGCAGTTTCCAATATTTGTTGGGCAGCACCAAGCAGGGGTTTCTGGGTTCATAATCATCTCACAATATCTAGAATGGTTGGAGCAAACATGGATGTCATTCTATAAAGCTCCCCACCCGCCAAGGTATAATCTCCATTTCACTCAACCCACCATTTTAGCAGATAGCACTAAAAATTTTAAAATGTGATTAGAATAAGTTATTATAGGTGATATTTGTTGGGCTGCACGTCCCCATTGTTCTTCCAGCAGTTGCCAATGTCAATCAAGTAAAACTGGCTCTGAGGGCCTCCCCCTTGTTTGATGTCTAAAGTAAATCTGACCTTGAAATTAGGCAAGACTGGAAGCTGGAATGCAACTACATTTTTTGTAATAATGGCAGCATTTTACACAAGACATATAAATGTAGCTAATTACGAGAATTATTAATCCCTATTATGTAGAATACTAATCAAATAAGGGACAAATATTAAAGGATCACCCAAAGATTGTGTCGTAACATAACTTTTATCATACATTTTGTTTGCATTTAGAGGTTGCAGTCTATGCCAAAAACATAACAATGAACAAAGAAAGAAGAAACTAAGATCTCCAAAATGTACAAGAAATTATTCTAAATCACCGAAAAATACACAGATGAGAAATGAAAACCAAAAAATTCACCTTTTAGCTTCCTATAAATGACAGAAATTGCTTCAGAAAAAAGATCAACACTCGGGCTTGTCTTCTCTAATATGGAAAACAAATAGCAGCAACAAAAATATACCAAACAGGTTCACAAAAATTTGAACTAAAAGTAGAGCATTGATTGACATAATTCTAAAACATTTATATAAGAACCTAAAGAATATTTCATACATAAATCCCCAGATCTTGCAAAAACAACATAAATCTTGCAAAAACAAAAAATAGTGAAGAAGAAAACATAAATCCCAAACAAAAACAAAAACGTACGACAGTAATGATGAAATATAACTAAAACTTAGAAACTTTAAGATAGCAATACAGATGCAGAAGTGTACATAAAGTTTAACAATATAAATACGACAAAACGATGTCCAACAACAATTCTAAAATCCACTAACTTCATCGGTCATATAATGCATAAAAATGACAAACTCCTCCAAACTCACTAAGTTAAAAATCATCAAACGTCAATAAAGATCCAGTCACGAGCCTCTTCTGTCTTCGTCCGGTAAGCTTGGATAGTATAACGGCATACAGTCACCTGCATTAACAGACAAGCCAAAATGAGTAATGAGTCAATCCTTATGAAACGACGTTTTAATTCATATGTAAGAGAAACTTGAATACCTTGAGAAGTGTACATAAAGTTGGCCGATGTCGGATGGATGAAATGTGCAGCTGATAAATGTTGGGAGACAGAGAATGGCATGGGGATGGAGTATTGTGGAATGGAGAAGGTCATTGGTGTCGACACACATTGTTGTTGTTGTTGAGGTGGCTCGATGTTGATTCCTCCATCACTAATATTTGTTTGGCTTGCTCTCGGTCTTCTATAAGTGCTCGATGTCGAACCGAGCTGCATGTGGATAAAAGGTAATCTTAATTTATATTTCAAAATAGTGGGCTTGTTCAGAAATTACTCAATCCAACGTACCTTCGCTTTCTTCGATGCAATCTCCAGTGGGCTTTTTCTTCTAAGTTTCCTTGGCGCTCCCTTTCTTCGAGTCGACTTCGGATCCAATGCGCTCACATTGGTGATATTTGGTAAGTCAGTGCATTGATCTTCCACATGAGCACTTGTTTGTGAAACAGGATTATTTCGTGCACTCGATTCCGTAATCATAAGCTCTTCACGTTGAACTTTTATCCATTCCATTACCAAACGCGAACGCTGCTCATCATCTGCAGCAAGATTTGCCACCTCCGCAAAACTATTACACATCTCTTCGTATCTCAATTGTGTAGGAGTGCTAACTAACCCGTCGTAGTTGACTGCAACCCTCGTGTGTGCCCTTGGAATATCTCTCCTCCACCTTCGCAGTATGTACTTATCCGGAATATGTGTGACGTCATTCCTATCCAACACTGTGATCGCATGTTTGCAAAGTATTCCCCGAAACTCGAATAGGTGACATGAACAAACAATATCACAGCTATCTCTCATGAGTGACACCATGAATGTCTTTTTCCTCCGAGAACCCTCATACATGATAGTCTCTCGCACTTCATATGTCGCACCAACACATCCATCCGAAGCAGACAACATGTCGCAGTACATCTTTCCCGCGAATTCTTGTTGAACTTCACGAAATTTTGAGATTGTGTAAACTGACTGAAACTGTTTCTCTATTTCAAATTGTGTTGCACATGGTAACATCTGTGAGAACGACTTAAAATCAGCCTGAAACTCCTTCTCAACTTTGCTTCTAAGGGCACGTTCATACTGTTCCACAAACTGCTTCAACGAGGTTTTCGAATGCACGTAGCCATCAAAAAATGCATTCATACTCTCACTTCTCTGTGTAGTTGACATCCCAGCCCAGAATGTGGTTTTTAAGAAACAAGGAACCCAACGACGCCTATGATCCCACAATCCGGATAGCCAATCATTGTCACACAAGCCATACATATCAATCATCATTCTCCAACTGTGTTCGAATTCTTCAATGGACTGCGAATCATATACCAATCTGTGTATAGCCCCAAATATCGAATGCTTATCCTCGTGGTAACCAAACTTCTCCGGCAACTTCTTCAAAATGTGCCACAGACACCATCTATGTCTTGTGTTGGGAAAAACAATCTCAATTGCATTTTGCATTGCCTTATCTTGATCGGTAATGATACCTTGCGGAGCTCGATTGTTCATGCATTCAAGCCATGTCCTGAACAACCATACAAAAGTAGATGTGTCCTCATTTGATATTAGACCACAACCAAGTAGCGTCGATTGTCCGTGGTGATTTACCCCAACAAAAGGGGCGAACGACATATCATACTTATTTGTAAGATAAGTGGTATCAAACGAAACAACATCGCCGAACTCCTTATACGCTTGCCTACACCGATTATCGGCCCAAAATACATTTCTCAGCCTTGACTCGTCATCCAAATCAATGCTATAGTAAAATCCCGAGCATTGAGCTTGCATCTTGGAAAAGTAAGATTGAATTGCTGCGGCATCTCCTTCTCCAAGTCGTAATCTCCGTACTTGTTCTACGTAGTTTCGACAATCCTTTTCAGTACAAGTCAAGTTTTCATACCCACCTACTTCTACAACTACTGAGTTGTAACTTTTATGCAACCTAATTCCTGCCAAATCATTCACCTCAAGCTTCCGTTTCATAGCTGCACTCAATTGTCTGTTACATCGATATAACCTGGATTTTGAGGGACTCGTGTCATGATTGTGGTCAAGGTTTACTGCGTTAATTCTCCAGTTTCCCAGATAATCACAAGATGCAGATATCCTTGCTTTACAACCCATCTTCACTGTTGGTTGCGGCTTTAAAGAACCGCTACTATTACCAACTTTTCCACCTTCGCGACTACATGTCAACGTCATGAATCTCAAAACTCCATCGTCCCCTTTTTTTGAATTCCTTTTCCTAACTGGAAAACCCACTGTGTAAGCGTATCTCTTATAGAAATCATACATATCTTGTTCAGTTTTGAACAACATTCCCACCTCGGGTATAATTATGCCATCTCCCCTTGAGGTTTCACCTTCCACTTCATTCATCGACTCTGTCACATTTTCATTCTCAGATGGCTCCAAAGCATCGTCATCCTTGTCTTCACCGCCGTCCATGATTTTACCTACTGCAAATAACATAAAATCAGTCATATTCAACCAAATTTTTTGGTGTGGATTGCAGTCTGTTTGCTTCATATCCTCATTTATTTCAATTCATATATAAAAAGTTAAATAAGATGTTGTTGAACTAATAGGTTGTTGTCCACATATCACAAATGTTTACAGCCCAACAAAGTATAACAACCCATGCAAACTGCATTAGTGAACCAAAAAATAAGTTGAAGCCCACTCCTAAAAATCATTTATTCCCGTTAATTGATGGAAAATCATTTATTGATGGAATATTTGTGTAAATATTTTGACTTGTCACTGATTTGATCAAGGTCCAATTTTTTATTCCACTCCTAAAAATCATTTATTCCCGTTAATTGATGGAAAATCATTTATTGATGGAATATTTGTGTAAATATTTTGACTTGTCACTGATTTGATCAAGGTCCAATTTTTTATTCCACTCCTAAAAATCATTTATTCCCGTTAATTGATGGAAAATCATTTATTGATGGAATATTTGTGTAAATATTTTGACTTGTCACTGATTTGATCAAGGTCCATTTTTTTATTTTTAGCCAGCAGCCCCCCTCCCCTTTTAACTCAAAAAAATATGTTTTTCTGTGCTTGTGATTGTTTATAAATTTGGAAGCTGCAGGTTGGTTTCATTTCTGCAAACAATTATGAAAGTTGAGGGGAACACAATTCCGAATTTTTATCCTCCCGTGGCCTAAAATCCCTTCTTTAATCATTGTTTCCCCCACTAAATTCTACAAAATTTGCATAATAATCTCATGTTTGGCAAAATCTAAACGCCTCTTATCTGCCCAGGTATTGATATAGTAAAAAAAATTGCAAACGGGTTCTCGAAAAATCTGACCTTTCACTCTTATCTTCGTAGGTTGGGTCTCGGAGGGTCACCGGAAAGCAGCCAAATGGTCGGGGAGGCGTTGTCGGACTTCATATATTTCTCGACGGAGCTGAGAATTCGTACACAGACACAAAGTAATTTAGGAAGACAGAGGAAAATGTTGTAGAGTTTCTATGTTTTCCCACCAAATCACGTGTTTTCTTTCCCTTTCTTTTTGTTTCCCACCAAAACACAAGAAGACAAAAGACACGTAAGCAAATTTTAAAAGCCTGTTTTTGAGTCTGTATGAGGGCCTGTTCGACTAGCATTATTCTTATAATATAATATACATTAGTTTTACCTCTATATAAATTGTGATACTATATCAATTGACATACTGATATTATGTCCTCACTCCACGAACCCTTCTCCACTCTACCCTTGGCCACTGGACCCCACGTACCTCAGCACAAAATCTTCAGAAGTTCAAATCTCTTTACACCCCACCCAATGGACCCAATTCTCCACTCCACCTCAATGTAGAAACCTCTAAAAGTTTAAAATGTTTTCTCTTTATATACATTTATAGACACACATAACGTTACAGGTAGTGATGACGTGGCACTGTATTTAGAAAATAGATCTACGTAGTGGTGGTTATGGTGTGTTGCAGGTGATAAAAGTACATTGGAGTTGATCTATTAGATGATGGTGGTAGTGGGAGAGGTGAGGTGATAGAAACATTTTAGATATTGTATGGTGGCATTAGTGTTGCAGTGTAGCTGAAGAGATTTATGATTGTGTTTAACTAATTGTGACCAGATTGTCTATGATCTAGTTAGTCTAATTTGTAACTGTCTATAACCAAGTCATTAACATGTGTTATTTGTGATTAAATTTATATTTAGTGTGACTATCTATGACCAGACCAGTCTAATTTGTAACTCACTATTAATCTAGTCACATAAAGTTACGATGAAGATAGGATTGATCACACCAGATCACAATAAATACATATTTGATAACGGATGATCACCACAAAAAAATCTGCACACACAAAAGACTAGCGCCACAATCCACCACCACCAACAACAGAATCACCCACAGATCAGAAAACCCAAGCGCGCGCACACACACACACACACACACACATATATATATATATATATATAGAGAGAGAGAGAGAGAGAGAGAGAGAGAGAGAGAGAGAGAGAGAGAGAGAGAGAGGGGACAACTTAACTATGGAAACATCTATGATGTTTTAGTTGAACAAATTGAAAGTTGAGATTTTCTACATTTTAGTCAGCTCTCAACCATGGCACCTCTTCCTGGATCGTACTCCAACACCAGTACCCTCGATTTACACTGTGGAAAGTATAAAAGAAACTCAATTTTTGAAATTACAATGAAATGAGGAAATGAAAACTTTTCGAAGTTTTGTTAGAGAAAGAGTAGGCGTGGGAGTTAGGGATTGGATAGGATGTGTTGAATTATTAGTAATATATTTATTTAATACAATATTAAATTAATAATTTGAATCTATATTTTAAACTTAACTCCCTTGTTTATGAAAAATAATCTTTAATGGCAGGGTTCTAGGTAATTTTCCATTAGACAAATACAAAACAATTTTTATTCTCTTCTCATTTTTAAGGGCCGAGAGAGAAGCTTGAATACAAATTTTAGATTTGAAATAAATAAAATTTTCTAGAAAATTAAATCATCCTTAATAAACTCTCAATTACCAAGGGCGCGATTATATTAACAAAACAATTTTTATTTGTCATGCCACATTTTTATTACAATTGACCTCTTCAATATTTACTTATTGGAGCAATTATTTCTCAAACCTTTTTTATCGAATTATTAATTCAACCTTCTATTAATTAGTGCATTTTCATCTTTAATGATATTTTTTTATTAAAATATTCTATTTTCACACTTCGAAATGATGAAAAAAAAGTTTTTTTTTCACTTATTTATTTATTTTTTAAAAATATGATAGAAAAATAAAATGTTTTACACTATTCAACTAGCTTTTTTAACATAAACTGCTATCAAATACAAAATATGATATTAAAGAAAAGTTTGAAGATAAAAATGATATAAAAAATCGTTAGGACAATAAGTGTTATAATGAGCAAAGACTAAGAACCCAAATACAATTAAAATGTGATGCAAAAAAAAAAATTGTGGTGTGAATTCCTTACCAAAATTTTCTCACAATTCAAATTCAAAATAAATAAAGGATTTCGAGAAGAATATCTAATTTTGTCATAGTTCCAATCGAAGTTGTAGATTATCATCCACCACTAGAAGTTACGATAGTTTCATACTTTCATCCAATTATTTTAAGTGCAAAAGTTGCATTCACAATTGAAAATAGCGGCTTCGATTTCAAATACAATTTCATCTACCAGCGACGACCCAAACAATTAGCCACACTTTGTCCATTTGTTTCCGTTTCACCCATTCGGTAGCAAGAAGCAACAGAGGCGGCGGCAACTAAAGAACCGCACCCAAACATCAACAATTTTTTGGTTCTCCTCTCTCTCCCCTTCGATCCTAACATCAATTTCGCTTTCGCCTAAGGACTCGAAATAAACTATAAATTCTCGAAATCCTAAATTAACTACAGACAAAAAAATCACATTGTACGTACGAACAATAAAAGAATTAATCTCATCTTATATATGACGACGTGCAGATATTTGATTCTATGTGCAAGAAATTGCATTTCTTTTGGCAGATTAAGTGACATTTTACTAAACCATTAAAGTTTGAATTGAAAAGAGGGGTTCGAACGACCGAACCTCGGAGTGTTAAATATGATCAAATTCAACAATACTGCATGTACTGATAGATTTGTCAGGTGAATTTACAGGTTGTCAGATGGCAACATTTCATTGAAATTTGGCCAAAAATCAAAGTTAAAACATCCAATAAGGTACTACTATCTCAGCTCCTGTACAATTCATCTGTACAAACAGCTTTTTTCAAATTATGTAATGAAAACCCACAATATATGGAAAGATAATAATGAATCAGGTTACCATTGAAAATTTGAGCCAAATGAAAAAAAAAAAAAAAAAAAAAAAAAAAAAATCCAAATATATGACCTAAATACCACTTTCCTTGTATCTTGGACTTTTTACAGATTGTTATTCCATTTTACGCTCATGTATGTCTTGTTACAGCCTTTTCAAAATGTTTAAAATGTATTCACTTGATGAAGAAATAATTCATAAATACGTTTTCTTCGAGCATGCTTTTGATTTAGATAAAAATTAAATTTTAGTAGATTTTAATAAAAATGAATAAAATATATAATTGAAAAGTCGCTATATAGCCCCTGTTTAGTATTGATTAAAGGTAAAAGGCTCTTGAACAACCAACACCTTCCTTGATTAAACTCAATAATTAATTTTAACCATAAGTTTCATGGATTCTATAACTTTTCAATAATACATTTAATTAAATTTTATTAAAATTTACTAAAAATCTAATTTTAATTCTAGAAGCTAAATATTTGATTAAAATTAATTATTAATTTTTTATGCTGAATCAAATTATATGATAATAAAGTCGCTTGTAGGGTAGCGCGATATTGGTTGAAATCGAGGGATTACAGAGAACACAGGCGAGCACCGCCGACTGCGGATAAAGTAGATAGTGCTAGAGAGCGAAAAATGGTGGTGGGCTGTGCGATTCAACCTCGCATTATCTCTTCGTTTTTGGGAGACTACCGCTTCATTCAGTCAACTTCAGATACACTTCCTTGCCTCTTCCGATACACTCGAGGTTTGATAACTATTTGTTGAATTTATCAGTACAAAATGATGATTGATTGTGTTTGAAACTTTTCCCTGTTTGTACACTTCAGTCTTTAATTAACGTGTCTTTCTTGGAGCACAAGGAGTTGACATTTTGGAAATTATAGTCTATAAAAAATCAATTCTAGTTGGAGTGCGATCATTTGCATCTCAAATTCAACTATTCAGGCATCGTTTTTTTGTTTCTTGTTAGGTTGAAGAAAGTATAAAAGTAAAGGCTTGGTCCTTGGAACCACAGTTCACCGGTTGAATATGCTCAATAGGACCCTGTTTTGGATATTGCTCCAAATTCTAAACCCTGAAACACACTTATATGTTGCTTTTGCTAAAAATACTATTGGTTTTGCGTTGTTCAAATTCATATACATTTTTTCTGAAAGTTTAATTATTTGCTTAGTGGAGAATGAAATTAGTAGAGAATTGCATCCTAGCGAATAATATGATTTCTATGCCTAGCTATCGCCCACTCTACCAGTTTTGTCTAGTTTTAGAAGGTATCTTGATCCTTACCTTATGGTATGAGATCAGTAAATGCATTCGAATGTGTACCAATTTATTTATGTGAATGCATTTCTGAGATCAAGCTCCAATACGTGAATACTAATAAATTGGGTTGTATTTACTTTTGTACTTTTAAACAGGTAAAAACCATGTGTCAATGCTAAATTCAAGAATGGTTTCTGGTTTAACAAATTTATTGTTCAACAGAAGGTATGGTATCTGATGAGGACATCATCTATTTTATTTATTTCTAGTTGGACTTTATTTTAATTTTGGATTCTTATTTATGTAATTGGGCTTATATTGGTCCAAGTCCGTTCTAATTAGGGTTTTCTCTTTACTATTTAAACCTAATTTCCTGTGTAACTTTATTAGTTTTGATGAATATGAATTATTGAGATTGGTTGTGGCGTCTCCTTCTTATCCCTTTCCCTTTCCCCTGAATTTTTGCTTCTTCTCCGATTTCTTCCCCTCATGCTCTCCAGTTTCTCTCCCTTTCCTGCTACCTTCCTCTTTATCCTGCATCAAATTTGGTATCAAAGGCGAAAATTGGGCAATTTCTTCCTCCTTACCAAAATTTTCTTCCCAAAATTCTTCCCGTTGGAACAACACAAACGAAAAGAATTTGTGGTAAAGACAGCAGTTTTTTCCTTTAATTTTCTCTCTTAGTTGCCAAAAAAAAAAAAAAAATTACCGTTCACGGGCACTGTTCAACTGAAAAAAAAAATCAATTTTAGTATTTTTGTTAGTTTCAGAAAAAAATTCATATTGCTGTTCTTGCTGTGATTTCAGTTCCTTGCTACTGTTCCTTTGCCCATTTTTCTTTACAAATTTACAACCTTAAAAGTCCACATGTTAAATTATTATATCCCACAGGCCAAACACAATACCACGTGGTTCCAACATTAATTAGCCAAGCCATAACTCCACAATAACCTACAGCCGAAGATCCCACCCAAGCGCAATTAACTACAAACTCATCAGGCCTAACTACCCAATATCATTCACTTGACCCAACTCACCTTAGCTCATACAATTTCAACCCAATCCTCTTCGATCCAGCCGACGTCCAAATTAGTGGTCGACCGATTGTCTTGTCACTCTGGTTTCAGTACCAAAACGTGGATTATACACACACCTGACAAATAGTAGCTATCCAAACCCAGATAACTGCTACTCTTGAAGAGAGTAAGATCTCTTTTCTAATTTGAACATTTTTAAGCACAGTCCTCATTTGACTAATGTTAATAATTCTGAAATGTCCCACAATAGACAATATTTTCGTCGACAAGGTAATCAAAAATATTTTCAACACGATCATAGAGATAGGGATCAGGTTTGTGAGCGAGAACGAGGCCATGGTCGTCATGGTACTCATTCTCTTCCTCGTCATAAGGAGTGTTTCTTTAGAGACATTAAATTAGGCATTCCTACTTTTGATGGTTATTTAGATTTTGAAGTTTTTACTCAACGGACTACTTTTAAACAAGGAAATTAGTTAGTGGCTGAGTATATTGCTCAATTTGAGGAGTTTCGAATCAAATGTCACGTCGTTGAGAATGAGTCCCTGACTTTGAGTAGGTTTATGCAAAGTCTAAGAGATGAACTTAAACGTGAACTTTTCTTTCGAGGCGTCATTACTCTTGATCACGTTTACTCGTTAGCTAGGGACTACGAGTAGGGTTGTAAGCAAAAATTGTAAAACCGAAAAATCGAACCGAAACCGCATTTTAGAAATCGTCGGTTTGGTGTCTCATGGACCCGATCAACGAAATGGTTTTGACCTAAACCAAACTGGTCAAAATGGTTTGGTTTAGGTTTGAGAATTTAAATTGCGGTTTAAAACCAAACCAGACCGACGAAAAAATATATAAAATTAAAAAAATGAAAAGATGAATTTTTTTGAAAATTCATCCAAATATTTAAAATTCAATAATTTTATCATTTGTGGGTATTTTTATCAATTTCTAAATTTTTAATACAGATATATTATTATTATTATCATCCAATAATACTAATATATATCTAATAATTTCAAGACTAACATAATCTATCAAAAACCTTTTTCCTCTTCAGAATTTAGATGAACTCCATTCGACTCCCAACACAGTCTTGAGCCACCGTCATCACACACTTCTTTTTCAAATTTTTTACGCCTCTTCAAAGTTGAATTGAAGTCCATTATACCAAATCGGAAACAAAGAGATTCTAGACCTTCGGTGATAATATTTGTTAAGAATAAAGTTTCAGATCAATAATTTTTTTTGGAGCAAATTAAGGTAAGAATCTGAAATTAAATGTATTTCGTAACATCATATAAACGTCAAGTTGTGTAATTGTTATATTTAGATATTATAAACAATTGCTTTATTATTGTTGGTGGTTATTCTCTTTATTTAATTGGTATCATTTTTTTTAGATATGTGAACCCCCAACTTGACTATGATGATATTTCTACTTCAACACCACCCGTCACGGCACACAAAAATAAAATGGATGTTATTTTAGGTGAACGTGTTGTATCGATCAATGATGGCAAGATTCAGTACTTTCTTATTTGTTGGATAGATCGACATGCTTCTTATGCCCCTCATTATGTACAATCATGTGAAAAATTTGAAGTTGAGGTGCATGAATATTGGTTATTTGGAGTCCACTATCAGTACTTGGTTAGAAGGAAAGAACCGCCCCCCTTAGCCATATCATATTCTTGAGATAAGCTACAGTTTTCAGTATTATCAATCATGAAATTTCGGTACTCGGTTCGTCAAAGATATCGTCCTTCATGGTTTGACTTGAAGCATTTAGAGTTTCAGATTGATTGCAGCCTATAGTGATCTATCAACTCGACAGGGTCGAGTTTTTCTCTCACCTCGGGAGAGTTGATGAGGACATCATCTATTTTATTTATTTCTAGTTGGACTTTATTTTAGTTTTGGATTCTTATTTATGTAATTGGGCTTGTATCGGCCCAAACATGTTCCAGCTAGGGTTTTTTCTTTACTATTTAAACCTAATTTCCTATGTAACTTCATTAGTTTTGATAAATATGAATTATTGAGATTGGTTGTGGCGTTTGCTTCTTCTCCCTTTCCCTTCCCCTTCCCCTTCCCCCTGAATTTTGGCTTCTTCTCCAGTTTCTCCCTCTTTCTTTCTACCTTCTTCTTTATTCTGCATCAGTATCTGCATTCATTTCCCCCAAGCACGTGCCATCATGATTCATGTGCACACTTGCACTCGCTTGTATCTGTCCACTCTCCCCTACTGCGTGGCCTTTGGTGATAGTGCTTTGAAGAGTTCACCATCTAACTCCCGATTACTTTATCTCATTGCAGTCGGATCGTTATCTTTTGTACTATTCCACATAAATCATTCTACCTTGAATACTCTTCTCATGAAAGGACACTAAAATTGACTTGATCTACAAAGTTGCAATATCTTAGCTAAGAGAACAACAAGAGGATAACACTCAAAATGCTGTACACAACATTTCTGAATTATGTCAACTTGCTGGTATGTTTAAGCTTTAAGGAATAAGAGAGTGTATTTAAGCATTAAGCTATAAGAGTGATTAGTTGTTCAAGCTATAAGAGAACTTAGTATTCCAGGTATATTTCACTTGGTGGCATTCTGGCTGCTGAAATGTAATTATGAACTGGTTGAAGTATTGCGATCAATCCAGATATTAGGAATTACTACTTGGCTTAGTTCGATGCCTGCTAATTGAATTATCATCCAATTATCCAAATATAGTTGTTAAGACAATTAAGGCTTGCAAGTACGCCAATGTTATTGAGTTATTTCTTGAATTTTCGAGTCCAGTTGGGTCCCAATGCAATTTGGCAGTTCTACTAACTTAATATAAACAATGATAATGGTGGTCAAGGTATACTTTCTCCAAAAAGGAAAATGAAGGGCGTAGTTGCTTCTTGCTAGAGGTCATATTATTAAATGTACAAATAGCATTGGGACCCTAGGTCTTCTGGGGCTTCAGCTCAATGCGCAAAGGAGTATACTATCATATTCAAAATGTAAAATTTCCATATATGTTAGCACCACTAGAAAGCAATTCTATCGTAAAAATATGTTAAGCTAGATCCAGAAATTGCAAAAATCTTCTGTTATTGCATGTAAATATAGGTTAATCTCACCATTGATTTGAGCAATATAGGTAGAGGCGTTCAAAGGTTTTCTTTCCACTACATCATCTAATCCTCAACAGCCAGAATATGACATCACCTAATAAACTAAAATGAAATCAATGTCTTAATGAGAAAGACTTAACATTTCCGAGAACCAGACAAAATCTGAATTTTTACGTTCTTTTTGCACTTTCTGAAGTGAGGTTCTTCATATCTAGAACTCTGCATGTGGCACCTCTTGACTCTTGGCATGAGTCCTTTATTTGCGTAAATTGTGAAAAATGACCTGAGTGTTGAATGATTTGATCTTTTTCCCCTTATTTTTGCGCCCAAATCATATCAGTTTATTGGAAACATCTTTGCAACCAATCTTTATAACCGGTTGCAACTTTTCTGTTAAATTTAATCCTTGATGTGCATTGTGCGTGTGCTCGCGCTTGCATGTACCTTAAAATGTGTCAATTTTTGTGCTTTCTTGTTTGCACATATCCATTCTTGATTTTCTACTAACACTGGCAGAACTATAGAAGATTTACCAAATGGCAAGCGTAAACGTTTAAGGCCAGGGAAAGTGACTCCTCGTCGGCCTGTCCCTGCTAACATACCAAGGCCTTCTTATGTCAATTCTAAGAAACCACCTGGCATTGCAAGTGTACCTGAAGTGCATGATAAGAAAGGGATAGAATGCATGAGAGCTTCAGGGAAGCTTGCAGCGCAGGTTCTTCAATTTGCTGGGACCCTAGTCAAGGTGAATATCTGATCATTTCACCACTTCATCTCTGTAATATCAACTTCATTCATAGTTTTTAGCCTCCACTACAATTTCTCACTGCCAATGAGGAGGCTGTAGTCCCAGTTAAGGCATTTAAAATGGTATGGAAGAAATAGGCATGCCATTGGTGGTCCATCATCTATTAGTCTTGTCACTCAACCTGTTTTACTTTGCTAAGAACTACACTTAGGAGATTATTTTACTGCAGACAATGTAACAAGTTACTGATGGTATTGTGTGGTTGCTTGAACCTTGTATACCATCTAGGTACACCTGCATTAAGTATAACTTGTTCACCCAAATTCGCTAACCTTTTTTCCTTCTCTTGACAGCCAGGCATAACTACGGATGAGATTGATCGAGCAGTTCATCAAATGATCGTCGAAAATGGAGCATATCCCTCTCCTCTTGGTTATGGCGGGTTCCCAAAGAGCGTATGCACATCTGTGAATGAGTGCATTTGCCATGGAATCCCAGATTCACGTGTCCTCGAGGTTCGTTGCACGGAAACATTGTTATTGGATACTTTGTGTAAAAATGTGTATATTTTTACAATTGTAAGATCTCTGGTACTTGTCCTGCAGGATGGGGATATTGTCAATATTGACGTTACAGTTTATCTCAATGTAAGCAGCTTATATCAATCAATACTTTAAAGCAACCTCTACTCCATGCTGTATCCTTCACCAGGGATGCAAAGGAATCATGGGGGTAAAATATGATTGTTCTTGTATTTTTGATTTCCCTAGTAATAGGAGTTACAAAGGAAAATTGTGTCTTGCTGCCAGATGGATAATTGCTTGGAATAGACAAAACTAACTCCTGGTGCGTTTGAATAGCGGTCAGATGATGTTAACCTCAATCGGTTTATCCAATCAATTTTCTGTTGTTTACCATGAGATCTAGGCTTTAGCCTGTAGACCTTGAATTAGAACTTTCTGATAGCTCAAATGTAGTGTTTTTGAATGTACTTATACAATTACCTACTAGGTCATTGGAAACGAATATGCTGTGTAATTGGAATGTTGTACTGTGGAGATTATAGCCTGTTGCTGCATTATGTTATGCTACTTGTGATACTCTAGGATATCTCTTCATTGATTGTTAGAGAAATATGATCACGGATCTCTATATGTAAAATAATTTCCTGCAAGTTTATAAGTTTGTTTTCCCTATTTTATTGTTCAACTTACTGTCCTACGCAGGGTTATCATGGTGATACTTCAGCTACATATTTTGTTGGAGATGTTGATGAGGAAGCCAGAAACTTAGTAAAGGTATGCTTTTCTGGCAGCTGCAGTTCTGCTTTCTCCATTTGGTTATAATATATATTCTGTACCTTTTCTCCAGAAATACAAAAGGAGTTTTCTCTTCAACTTAACCATTTCGTGGAATTATCAATTATATACGCTTCTGCAATTTCCATTTGGTTATAATATATAAGCTTCTCCCATTTTCACCGGGATTTTTTTTTCCACTTACTTTTCTGTGTTGTATTCTGTTTGTGGAGAATATCAGGTCTTCTATATTTGGTTATGTCACAATGTCATACTGTTGTGCCACTATAGAAGATTAGGAAGTTCATTCTCTATGCCGTTTAACTTAAGACGCATCCATATTTTTATCCTCTCTTAAGAGTAATTTGTTTCTTGCTTTAGGTAACCAAAGAATGCCTCGACAATGCAATATCAATATGTGCTCCAGGAGTGGAATTTAACAAAATCGGCAAAACAATACAGTAAGTCATTTTTTTATTTGTTTACTATTTTCCCTTAAAAACAGCAATATGTTTTTTTCAATATTTTTATTTCTTCATCGGAAACGTTAATTAGCATATGTTTATACTTCTGGAATATATTGGTAATATTTTATTTTTCATGTATGTTATGTAATCTACATTCTAGTATTGATACACGTGCACAAAGATGAGCACAGACTTAATTCTTGCGTACATAGATACAATGTACATTTTTAGCACTTTTGTTTTACATGCTAACTGAAAGTAGTCATCATCACACATTGGTCCATTTAACTATAGAATAATGGAGATCTTTTCTAATGTAATAGTTTTCAATTTATCATGGCATTACACTTTTCAGCCCTTTCCAGAATGTGAGATTTCCTTCACTGGATTAAAACTTAACATTGGTGTTCTCTTTGAAGTGACCATGCAGATAAACACCATTACGGGGTTGTCCAACAGTTTGTTGGTCATGGAGTTGGACGGGTTTTCCATAGCGATCCAGTCATTCTGCACTACAGTAAATTCTCCAACTTTATGTTCACATTATCCGTGTCTTTGTAATCTTTGCCTTCATGTTAAATCGTATGTATTTATTGGGTGTGCATATATGTTCTGTTGACCAAGCTATAGATTTCTCTTATAAGTTTCATGATTTTACCAATGGGGAGTATAGGATCCATGTAACTTGAAGGGAAATATCTAGCACTGGATTGGCGATTGGGGATGTTGCCTCACACAATTCTGCTCAGAATCAATAATACTTATAGAAAGCCTTCTGCTCATCATTTCTGATTTCGAAGTTATATATTTAATATGAATGGTGACATATGAGCCTCCTTTTGACTAAAAAGAACTAGTCTAGATTCTGGAATTTTAGACATCATTGTGTTGGTTGATATTAGCCATATTTTCAGCTTGTATTGGAGAATTTATGTGCTCGAACTTGCTGCAACCATTGGGTTTCTTGATATTCTTTTCACTTTCTAGTTTTATTACCTGTTTTTCTTCATGTGGGTGTGTACTTGTCACCAATCTTAAGAAATGTAGGTTTTTTCCTTAGAGGAATAAAATTTCTGGTAAAAAAAAATTTATATTCTTTTTGTTCCTCCTATATACTTCAGTCGGTGGATTTGATGCTTTACTCCAGATAAATAGTGGCCTTTTTAGCCATGGACATGTTTGTATTTTCTTCTATCAAACAATGGCAGTCTGTAAGTGCTTTATAAAGTTCTTCAAAATCAGCAGAATATGAATTTTCACTCACGTGATAAATTGTTTTGCTTACATGAACAGCAATGAATATTTGGTGATTTAGATATATCCATCATTGAACGACCTACATACTGATGCTAAAATGTTTGACTCTCATGAATAGCAATGGATTTATATATATATTAATTCACGCATTGAACAACATACATAACAATGAGGTAGTAAGATACTGGCAGGAAAAATAAAACACTACAGACTGAAAGCACTGGCCCTCTGTAGTGGAGAAAAATTAGAAAATCAGCATTTCTGTTATGGCCTCGTCCATACTTTTATTTTGCTTCCCTTGCTGATGCAAACTACATCCCTTTTATCATGTCCATAAGAGGTCATCTTCTATTTGTAACATCTTTTTATGATCTTGATGTTGGTTTTCATAGGGAATAATTGTCGTGGACGCATGATGCTGAACCAGACTTTCACAATTGGTAATATGTCTTCTAGTCTAATGTTTTGGTCCTCTGTGAAGTACATCCCATGGTAACGATGATTAACAATTGTATCAGGCCGAGATTTCAAATATTAAGAATTTATACTTGCAAATAGGTTTGTGCTACATACTGATAATGCAATCCTGCTCTCCTATCAAAGATAGGAGAATATAGGAAAGGCCAATCGAGTATTACTGTCTCATGGACACAATCCAACACATCCATTCACATCTCGTTCCTTTATACTTCTTAATTTCCTTAGACCTGTGGGTTTCTAGAAGGACGGCTTGTAAAGCCAGCACTCCGAAGGATCAAGAAGTCGTACTAAAAGGTTTTCAGCTTAATGAAAACTGAAATGATTGATTTCATTGCTTTACTCAATTGATTTTATGTTATTTGATACGCATTCATTGTTTTGCTCAAGGTCTATTACATCAACGATGTAAATTTTGTCACTGTGCAGAACCGATGCTGACAATTGGCAGCATCAACCCAATAATGTGGGATGATAATTGGACTGTGGTGACAGAGGATGGGAGCCTGTCGGCTCAATTCGAGCATTCCATCTTAATAACCGAGAATGGTGCAGAGATACTAACCCAATGTTAATGATGGCTCTACGAAGCATTGCCAAAGGGAAGCCGAGAACAGGGTATTCACTGTAGACCAGACATTCTTTATGGCCATATGGGATATGAATTTGCCACCACATATGGAAATATTTCGGAGGCAACTTCTTTTTTTTATTTTTTTATTTTTTAAACTTAATTAGGAAATGTGTACCCATTTGACTCAACAATTTATTCGATTGTCCCTTTTCTTCAATCAGTTGGGATTGAATCTTGACTTGTCGATTTTCTTCTTGTATAATAGTAATTCATGGGCAAAGTTCTTTGTATTTTAGCGTTTATGGTTGGGGACCTCAGGTTTCTCCATTGCCAACGAACAACGATACAGGATAATGCTATCTAATGTTTAGCTCCAATTTAGATGGCAGTGATGTCCACCTTGACTTGTCCAATGCATTAAAATTGCATCTTAATTTTATTGAACGAGTCTAAATAGCTACTAAATAATAATACTTGGGAATGGTTTTGTAAACAAAATTGCTATATAAATAAAAATTTCAGGCACCTGACAACCAGATCAAAAGAAATTACTTTTGACTTTTATTGGTCTCCAAATTCAATTTTTCAAAATCAGCTTTATTGCCGATGAAAAAGTCGAAATGAGATGAGGGTATGGAATTTTCAAAGAACAATTTCATCCCTTACAGTGCCCAGTTTTAACCATTTACTTCAACTCTGCAACAACTCCAGATCATTGAACCCAGGAAAGCAAACCCATCAACAAATCATAATACAAGGGCTACACCACAATCCATTTGTTATCACCAAATTAATTTTGTTTTACGCAGATTGCAACGACATAGAAACATCCCGCATATTGTTCGACAGATTGCCTCAACCAAATGTTTTCGCGTGGACCTCACTAATTTCATTTTATTCTCGCAATGGGATGTTTGATGAATGCATTGGCGCTTACATTGGGATGAAGTCGAAGAATGTTTTGCCCGACGGATATGTATTTCCCAAGGTTCTAAGGGCGTGCACGATGGCAACATGTTTGGGAACGGGAGTCCAAATACAGAAAGACGTGATTCAGTGTGGGGCTGAATCAAATATAGAAGTTTGTAACTGTTTGATTGATATGTATTCAAAATCTGGGTATGTTGAGAGTGCAAGGCAGGTTTTTGATTCAATGGCGGGAACAGATTTGCTGTCATGGAATTCAATGATTTCAGGGTATGTGTATAATGGGATTCTTCAAATGCCTGTGGAAATGTTAGGATTAATGAGATTGAATAGCATAGAGCCTGATACAGTAACTTGGAACTCTGTGATGGATGCTTATTGCCGTATGGGCCAATGTGATGAGGCTTGGAAAATTTTTAGTCAGATTGAGGAGCCAAGTATAATCTCGTGGACGACATTGATATCGGGATATTCAAGAACTGGAAAACACGAAAGTGCTTTGGGGATTTTCAGGGATATGATTTCACGGGGAGTTCATGCTGATTTAGATTGTATTTCCAGCATCCTTCCTTCTTGTCAACATATGGTGGCACTAAGATTTGGACAGGAAATTCATGCATATGGCACTAAAATGGATTACGGGTGTGCATTTTACAAATCTCCTGGACCTGCATTGTTGATGACATATGCTAAATGTGGAAGAATTCACGATGCAGAGCGTGTATTCAGGTTGATGGATAAACGTGATGTTGTCGCTTGGAATGCTATGATTCTTGGTTATGGTGATAGAGGGATGGGAAATTTGGCTGTAAGATGTTTCCAAGAAATGCAAAGAATGGGAATTAAGGGTGATCAGACCACATTTTCGACCATTTTGCCTGCTTGTGGGCTCAAATCTGGGAAGCAAATTCATGCCTACATCAAGAAAGGCAGTTTTGCTTCTGCTACTCCAGTTTGGAATGCTCTGATTCACATGTATGCTCAATGTGGTAGCATTACAACTGCATATTCTGTATTTTGTCAAATGGATAATAAAGATTTAGTCTCATGGAATACAATGATTGGAGGATTCGGGAAACACGGCCTTGGCAGAGAAGCTCTGCAACTGCTGCAGGAGATGAGAAATTCCGGGATTCGCCCCAATTCCTTCACGTTCACATCTGTGCTATCAGCATGTAGTTATTCAGGTCTTACAGATGAGGGTCTGGAAATCTATAACAATATGACTCAGATTTTTGAACTCAACCCTGGAATGGAACATTATGCTTGTCTCATTGATTTACTAGCACGTGCAGGTCGGGTAGAGGATGCTTTAGAGTTCATTATGAGAATGCCTGTTGCGGCTGATAAGCGTGTTTGGGGTTCTGTACTTGCTGCCTCTCTATCGTATCAGAAAATAAGTGTTGCGATTGTAGCTTCGGAGCATTTAGTCGAGTTGGAGCCTGAAAATGCTGGCCACTATGTTACTCTATCCAATATGTATTCTAGAGTAGGAAGAGTTGATGATGCAGTCAAAATACGGAAGCTGATGGAAAGTACAGATCTGGCGAAGCAAATTGGACTGAGTTGGGTTGTAAATGGAAACTGAAACATAATCATTTGAACTAAATTAGGAGGTTTATGGAAACACGTGTGAAACTGGGGTTTTCATTGTTTCTTTTCTTAATTTTTATTTTTTTCGATGGGCCTTTCATTCATTGAATCTTGGGAAAATTTCATAACTAAGAAATTAATTATGGCACATTTCAAAAACAAGAAAACAAGTTTTAAATTTCTAAAATCAGATTTTTATTAAAAATTATTTATAATTTAATTATTTTATTAATTAAATATATTTAGGTCACAGATCTATACAATTTGGTCACAAATTAACAATATAATTAGTCACTTATTATTTTTTGGTCACAAATTAAAAATTTTATGTCACATTTTTTTACGATCACATTTCAAAAATTTTGTAAGTCACAATTTGTTTATTGGTCACAAATCCAAAAATAATTAGTTACGGATTAATTTTTAATCACGACTTATCATATTATTGGTCACAACTTATTTTTCGGTCACAAATTAAAAATTTTATAAGTCACATATTATTTTTCGATCACGAATCAAAAAATTTATAGGTCACAGATTAATTTTTCGGTCACAACTCAATAAATTATAAGTCACAAACACAAATCTTATAGGTCACATATTATTTTTTGATCACGAATCAAAAATTTTATAGGTCACGGATTAATTATTCAGTCACAACTAAATAAATTATAAGTTACAAACACAAATTTTATAGGTCACTTATTATTTTTCGATCACGAATCAAAAATTTTATAGGTCACAAAATCAAAATTGTTATTGGTCACATCTAATTTGTCGGCCACAAATCAAAAATTTTTTAGGTCACAATTCATTGATTAATCACAAAATCAAAATTTTAATTGGTCACAATTCATTTGTCAGTCACAAATTATATCAAAATAATTGATCACAATTAATTTTATGGTCACAAATTAATAAATTACAAGTCACAAACAACCAAAAAATTGGTCACAAATACCCCGTCCAATGCAAGTTACAAATCGAGAGTCACAGGCGCAGTCACCGTCACCACCGCCATGATCCAATTATTAATTATAAATCAACCAAACCGCCACGATCACGGACACGACCACCACAATCACCGCCACGACCAACTGTGACACCCAAATTGTGAGTCACAATTGAAAGTCACAGTCACAATTTTCAGATCATGAGTCCAATTATGTGTCCCAAAATCAACCAGCAGTCACGACCACCGCCAATCCACCACAACCACCTCGTCACCACAAAATAGTGCATATCACCACCATCGGCCCACTGCTGTCGAACTCTGTCAACAACAAAAACATCCCCATATCCACCACCACCATCACCATTTTCAATACAAAAAACCACCACAAAGAAAGGACCAGCAACACTACCGAATCCGCTTTTGCCAAAGTTCAGAGCCACCATCTCAATCACACAACCACCACCATACCAACCAAAAAATTCCAAACCCACAAAAACATCCCCATATCCACCACCACCACCACCACCACCACCACCACCACCACCACCACCACCACCACCACCATTTTCAATACAAAAAACCACCATAGAAAAAAGGACCAGCAACACCACCGGATCCGCCTTTGAAAAAGTTCAGAGCCACCATCTCAATCACACAACCACCACCATACCAACCAAAAAATTCCAAACCCAATTCAGTCGTCGCCGCTACTGCATCTCAACCCGTCGCCTTATGCGTTGCTTGTGACGGTGACGAGAAAGGTGAGAGAGATAGAATGTGTTTGGGGGATTTGCAGCCTCGCGTCATCGTCGCCTAGATTAAATCGAAAAATTAAAACGAGGCGGCACAGACCACAGCCTCGTTGATCCCATCTACTCCGTCCACATCAAGGCGGCATCGCGCCTCGTTGCTCGCAGCTCCGCCATCTACAGCAAGAATTGCAACGCTGTGTTGCACCAATTCGACAATAGGAGCGTCACATTGCCGCCGCCAACGATGGAGGGAGGCGCCGTTGCGGGGAGAAATGTAGAGAGGGATGTTTGTGGGAGAAATGTAGGGTAGGGAGGCTTCAGTTGTTGGGAGATAGGATTAGGGTTTGTGATTAAAAAGATTTATTTCATAAAAATATTAATTAGAATAAAATTTCTGATTATTGAAATGTCAAACCTCTGCCCTAATTTTAGAATTGATGATTTTAATGATAGGGTTTCGTGTAATTACCACTTGAATCTTTTTACACATGTTTACAAGATACTCAATGATTCTTAATCGACAAATGCAAGAATGACATCATTTAAATTAACCTCTATGAAGCAAATAAATATTAATAATATAAAATTCAAAACGATTGATTAAAAAAAAAAAAACATTATTTGGTTGGTGGAGGGCAAATGTTTTATTTCCTAGGAAAATTAATCTTGACAAATGGTTCCGTCTTTCCAAAGACACTGTAGAGCCTGTACCTCTCTATAAAAGTACAAATCCCTGGGTATCCTTGGATTAGCTTCTGTTGGAGTTGGTCCTCCTTGCAGATCTCAAAATCGGAAAAATTCTTTCACCACATGCAAGTCTAGCTGATGCCACGTTTCCAGAGAGCTCGAGAAACCATGCCAATATCACAAAATTCCAAAAGAGCAGCCACCCAACTCAGGCATTATCTACCAGCATAAATTTAGGGATGTTGCTAAATATAGCAACACATTGGGTTACCGGAATCAGAAGACGGCTTAAATAATTTACCACGGCAAGCAGCGTGCCAGAAGAATGCGCAATCTTGAGTATATTACATGCAGAAGTAACTCCACAAACATAACCAATTTGATCCTACGTGAGACAAGGACATGAAAAATGCAGATGGTGTCAAATTTCCACATTGTGGGAGGATACAAAAGTTATTCTAAATACTGTAAATGACAATATACATGTCCAAAACGTTAAAGAAGGGGTGGAAGATAATATGCAAAGAATAATGGACGGAATCTTATAACTGACAAACTACTGCTATGTCACCACTGATGACAAAATAATCACCTGTGTTGTTTACAGTACATCCAAATCCCGTATCATCACATGTTAGAAGTGGCAAATAGACAGTTTGGCTGGATCTGGAAAAGTTGAAAAGAGAATCGAGAAAAAAAGGGGTTGGACACGCTCTATCACTCACTTCAAAGATTCTGTTGGAACAGGCCTAACCCAAATTTTTGGTGTCTTTCATTTTTTTATTTTTATTATTATTATTATTTTTTTGGTTATATCTTTTATAAACCGAAGTTATGTCAAGGACACATACATCCTTGTTTGTCTCTTGTTTATAATCTATTCATAATCAGTTAAATGCTTTTTATCCACGTATTTTGTGGGATCCACAAGTACCACCTACTTACCATCACTCATTTCTATCGACTAGTAATTTTAAACTGATTATAAACAANGGGAACAACAGAAGTTCATTTACTTGCAAGGGAAAAAACACAATCAAGAATATTATGCACAAAACCAACATCTTAGATTGGAAGAGTGCATTCATAATCATTAACCCAAAGATGAATGAGTTGAAAGGGAGGCAATAAAAGAACAGCAAACTGCACAAAACCAATCTAAGTGCATTCATAATCATTAACCCAAAGATGAATGAGTTGAAAGGGAGGCAATAAAAGAACAGCAAACTGCACTTAGATAAGATTCGTCATATACCACCATATTCTTACATTTTGGGAGCAATAACTTTGCCAACTCGTATCATTTAGAAACATTCGAGATTTGTTGGGCACATGTAAAGTTAGTAATTCAGGTGAATTTTTAAACATAATACTCATCCAACAGTCCAAGGTAAAAATAACATAATATTGCGTTTCACAAATGCAAAAGATTTCAAATCTCTCGTTTCAAGTACTTAAACTAGGTTTTTAGAGCATACAAGATTTCCCAGATAGCACAAACTTGCCTGGTTATTACACAAGATCTCTATAGAAGGCTTTAGCTTTTGTCGAGACTTCAGTCCAGACCAGAAAGACCCATCTCCTCCAACAGCTGGATGTGAAATCTGACCTCCAGTTATACCAGGTGCAAAAGCTCCATCAGCATTTGTACCATCCAATGGCTTATCGAGAACCATTTTTTCTATCACATAGTTGACAACCTAAAAAATAAATTGGTGCAATCTTATATCGTTGAGTCATCTGCTGCAACCATTTTTTGTCTCCAGATAATAGTTCAAAAGAAGGGCAAAAAAATAAGTAGAAGCAAGCTAGGATATTATTCCAAGGAAGCCATTTTCATCCCAATGACAGGGCAGGCTCTATAAAACTTTTTCTTTAGGCTCAATCGCACTACAAGGACATTCCTCCAAGTTGGGCCAAGCGTTTCTTCTAGCAGTTTTGGCAGGGCTTTGGATTCCTAGACTATACCATTTAACATTTCAGTTGACCACGTTTGCATGGAAATAATCAAAAACTGGAATGGGCACCCATGTTAGGATACCTCATTTAGGACAAATGTTAATGGGGGCATTTAATTTCACATGGTTTGAAACATCCTAATAATGACGACTGTGAGCATTCAAAAGGGTGGACCTTAATTACGGAACATATGGTTAGTCTAAGGAAGAGGTGCCTTTAACACGAAGTACCTATAGTGGCTCAAATATTATTTTTGGTAACTTCGAAAAGTATAAAGTTCTTGTGAGGTGTAACTAGAAGATTTTGAAGGAGAGAGATCTGTTGATGAAATCTTCACATATACATTTATCATTTCTGAACGAAATTGGTTGAATCAGAAATAAATTATACGATCCTATATGAATTCCCCAACACGGTATCCACTATCCAATTATAAAAACAAAAATCAAGTTACAAGTAGCATGCAATATCAAGCATTAGAATACTAGCATTGAAACACCCGTCTCCAAACAAGATGCACGTCCTCCAAATGGCCTTAACGGTGAACACTCTTTTAGTGAAAAATCAAAAGGTGGCTTACAAACATGCTAAGCGTGTTCTATAATACTAGTTTCACAAGTAGGACTTATGCTATCTAGTGGAAGTTCTTACTTTATGTATTCTCAAAATGCGAGGGGCACTAAGTTTTCCTTGTGTGAGAATCTGC